ATCATGGCTATTGGGCGAAGACACTATATAATAAAATTGCTATTAGACTACTACTAAATAATAAATATTAATATAGGTAAAAGCACAGCATCCCTACTATCATTACCATATAAAGGCACCAGATTTTGGAGTGAAGACACTACATTACTGTTATTGGGCAAAGACACTAGATAATAAATTGCTATTTGACTATAGTCAATATTAATATTAGATAAACGCACAGTATACCTACCATCATAATTTGAAGGCATTGGATTTTTAGATAAGGATAGTAAACCACGGTTATTAGGTGAAGATACTGGACAAAATATTATTATTAAGAGATGATATAGATAACTATTTATTATGCGCCCTTTCTCGCACATAATAGTCATAGTTGTCTCTTTTATACTATATCCATTAGGTGTGCTTTTCTTTTTCTTTTTTTTTTAATTTTTAAATTTTTTTTTCTAGACAATAATTGGCATAATTATAAGTAAAAACATAGTATAACTACTATTATTATCATATAAAAGTACTGGGCTTTGATGCGAAGATATTGGAAAACCAACATAGTTATCAGATAAGAACATGAGCTTTTGGGTAATGATACAGGGTTTTCAGACAAGAACACAGGACTTTTGGGTAAGAACACAAGGCTTTCAGGCAAGGACACAGAATGACTAATATGATTATTGGGCGATAGAACTGATCTAACATTATCAGGCAAAAACTCTACAAATAAATAAGTAAATTAATAGTTACAAAAAAAAAAAGCTTTGCAATGAATAAAATGCTTTAATTCCAGCCATATCATCATCCAAGTCTATATTATAATCATCAGAAATTTCAATTGTATCTGGAATTTCCTCTTTATCAAAAATATTATTTGTGTAAAGCTCATTGACTAGAGAGCAATCGCCACAGAGCTTGTCCCCATAAACTTATTCATAAAGGGTTTTTTTATGTGATTTACATCGCAAATTGTTTATGGCTACTATAACCAACCTCAAGCCGAATGACTAGTCATTTCTACTAGTTGTTTTATGCTATTTTTTTAGCTTTTGCTCCAAGATACCATTGACATGTTCTACTAAACCTTGCGACTGGGGATGCCTAGGGCATCCATTAATAATTCTTACTGATAGCCATAGTGCGATTAATTCCTTGATCACTTGTGCTATGAATTCCTTTCTATTGTCTGACTGTAATATAGCCAGAGGTGATCTAATCATGTGAAAAAGAACAAAAAGAAATGCTGTGACTTCAATCGGTCTCTTGGATGTTAGAGCTCTAGCCCATGAGAACCTACTAAAATAGTTTTTTACATAGTACACATACTTGAACTCTCTATCTGGAATGTAAGTTAGATCGATTAAATCTATCTGCAAGAAAAAAATAAAATTAACAAAAAATTTAATTTTAATCTTTAAAAATATAAAACTTATCTAAATGCAAGACAAAAAATTTTTTGCTATGATTGGCTTCGCTGCCAAAGGATGGAACACCAGTTTTCGGGCTGCACACACAGTGCAATTATTCACAAATTGTTCCACAACCTCTTGTTTTACAAACCCCCACTTTTCACGAACTGATATCCAGGTTTGCTTTTGACCACCATGTTGTGTTATTT